ATGAAAGTCTTAATGCCCGCCCGGATTTTCGATTCCAACAGCGGTTGTGTTTTGCGATTTTTCCTGCCAAAACAACAAGCTGTTTGAAAATAACAACTGCGTTGTATCATTTTGTGATAGTTGTAGATGAATGTCTTTCGCAGACGAATATTCCAAAGTAAGCGTGCGACGCGTGAGAAGTGTTTATTCTCTCAGCTGCGTTGTCGACATTCGCTTCAGGTTACAAAAGCCGTGTCTCATGATCCGCTACGATTTGCGATTTTTCCTGACAAAACAACTAACGTTTTTAAGACCTAGTTTTCTTTATACAATTTACTATAGTGTACTAATGAATGTCTTTCAGAAATTAGGGAACTACACGCGTATTTTGCGATACACAGCGAAAAATAATTTTGCCGACAGCTTAAGACAAACATATGGCGCAGTAAGAATTCACGCGTTGGTCGTGTAGTTTCTGCGATTTTTCCTGCCTTCACATTATGAGCTAAAAACTAAAATATAGTTTTGTCAAATGCACAACAGTCTGAATATGGATGTCCTTGACGAATTACGTTTATTCCGTGAAAAGAGACACAGCAATTCCACATTTTATACGCGACAATTGACCCCGTTTCAGATTCAAATCTGAATATGAATCTGAATTTGAATCTGAAACTTGAAACTGAAACTGTAGAGCGGATCGTCGTGAGACATCCTTTTGAAATATAGACTCCAAGAAACGCTATTTGCAGCAATCTGAGCATCAAATTTCGGAAAATAGCTTGACCTAATGAAGGAAAAGATGTGGATATTTTGGCATATTTCAGACGGCAACAATAATGAAGATCGACACAAAAATAGGAAATCTGTGGTCTGCATTTCCGCTCTAATTATAGTCATACCGGCAATTGTGTATTTCTTTTCGATCAGAAAATATTACATGCATGTTCTGTATTATCATATATTCTGTATAGACTACATAATTTTTAATTGATTACTTTGGTATGCTATCCCCTTGACCTTGTGGTATTCCAACTTGAAATTTACTGTCAGTTTACGGGGAGTATGTACCAAATGGTAAATATAATTTAACAATATATATTGAAATTTGGCCCATAGGGGTCACGGCACAAACAAAAACTCCACGGCACAAACAAAAACTCCACGGCACGAACAAAAACTTCACGGCACAAACAAAAACTTCACGGCACAAACAAAAACTCCACGGCACGAACAAAAACTCACGGCACGAACAAAAACTTCACGGCACGAACAAAAACTCCACGGCACAAACAAAAACTCCACGGCACAAGCAAAAACTTCACGGCACAAACAAGAACTTCACGGCACAAACAAGAACTTCATGGCACAAACAAGAACTTCACGGCACGAACAAAAAGTCCACGGCACAAACAAAGTAAAAAACTTCACGGCAGATGGACGTAAGCTGTTAACGTGTTAGACAAAATGGCAGATGCCAATGAAGACGGTTTAGAAAACGATCACTTCGAAACGCATGAAGAGGACGAAGAAAGCCTCATTCGCTACTATTTCTATAGAGGTTTTGATTATAAGGAAATCGTTTTATTTTTATTACAAAATCATGATATTCAGATGAGAATGGCCACATTTAAACGACGATTGCGAAGGTACGGACTTAGGCGGCAGCTACCAGAATATGACATTGACGAAGCAAGGGCATCCATTCAAAGTCTTATTAATGGTCCTGGATGTTTGCAAGGATACAGGTCCGTATGGCATACACTGCAGCTTAGAGGAGTTAGAATACCGCGTATTGTTGTACAACAACTTCTGAAAGAGTTAGATCCTGAAGGGACTGAAATGCGAAAGGCTCACCGGTTAAAAAGGAGAAGATATCACAATCCTGGTCCGAACTATTCTTGGCATTGTGACGGGTACGATAAACTCAAGCCGTATGGATTCCCTATTCAT